AGTAATTGATTTTAATGAAAACATTAACATTAACATTAATGATTAATGAAAGTATAATCCCTAATATTAACGAAAACATTACTATTCATACTAATGGTGAATGTTTCCGTTAACCGTTAATATCATTTAAGAGCATTGACATTAATATTAATGATTAATGAAAACATTAATATAAAATTAATGTTAATGGCCCACCCCTAGAGACAACCATGTTGAATCCGTTTTTACTGATAGACGTGGGAAACCAACACATTGATCTGCTTGATTTTTTCAGTCTAGTATCGGTACAAGTTTTAAAAAAAATTAGGCTGATATTCCGTCTATGACTCTCAACATGGTCTATAAAATAAATTGTACGAACACATATTGCACACATAAGAAAGTCGAGATATAACAAAAGTACGAAAATGGATCATATATGTAAATGTTAGTTATTGTGGAGTATCTTGATTACAGATATGTTAAGATCAAACAGTGTTTCTCATCGACCAATACCTGTTGTTATCTCAGTTATATGATTTTTTAGCACCTATTTAAGATACCATAAATATTCCCATTACTGAGCAACAGTTTATTTTCAAGCTAATGGCTCAATTACCCCATTTTCTTACAATTCAATGTTATTTGTATGAAAGACATCGAATGACATGAATATAAAAATTCACCATACAGATCAACTTCAAATTCATACCGACATCTTGATGTAAGAGTTTACAAAAAGAAATCCTAGTATCCGCCCAATTCTCTAGTATTCTCTGTGAACAATAAGAAACAAATATATAGAATCAGAACTCGTATTTGCTTTGATTTTTCCAACTAAATTATTTTTCACTCTTGTTCAACGAATATCTATCCTAAATGTCGCGATATGGACGTGTAGATTTTCCGTATTTTTCCACTGTGAATCTCTAACTTGAGTATCATATCATGAATGAATTTTGAAATTCACTCAAGAAGCTAATCGAACGAAGCAAGTATGACTTTATTCATTCTCAATTTTAATAATTTTGATGGAACTGTCACTTTCTTTCATAACATTCAAATGTATTCTCCTACACGACAGTCAACTACCAGTGTCAAGAGCATTACTTACTAAGCGATATGTTTTAGTGTAATGCGACATAATGTTCATCTATACGTAAGACAATTTTTACTTTCTATAAATATACTTTTACTGAAAGTTCAAATCTAAATTTCGCTCAAGGTATTTTGAAAATAATTCATTTTTCCCAGGAATATTACTGAGAAATAGATAATACGCGATACTGGATACTTAAAACAATGAACAGAAGAGCTTTAAATATAAGTGGATGAATGTGTAAAAAGACGATTCTAATACATAAAAACGAAAGCATCAAACATTTCTACAAAAATCCTTGGCTGAAGAAAACGAAAAAACACTCGTTTTTATCAACAAATTCAAATAGTTTTTTGGATGACTTTCCGAATCAATTGAGAAGACACGATGCGAATAAAAAGAAAGATGAATTCCAGTGCGTTTGCAATAAAAAAAAGGAACCCTCTATAGGTGCTGATAATAAACAAGTGTGTTTTAAACGAGACGGTGTCGTTTTTTTCTCTAAAGTGGCATCGCAGTTTTTGTTGGGAGCGTGATGCGAGCAGAAACTATAATACAAATTATCGTTTGGAATAGTACAATCTCACTATTGTGATATGATATTGAATAAATAATTCAATAGGAGCACCATAAACAATCTTGAAACTAATAAAAAAAACAGGTGACTGATATAAATGTGCAAAATATTTCCATAATGAAAATTTTCCAGTCGATAATGTACTGTCAAACTCTTAATAGACTAGTGGTAGAACACTTCATTGCTCTGCAAAAGAGAGATTTCTTTAAAATTCTATTCACATTTAAGAAAAAGTTCGAAAATCGTATGGCACATTGAAGAGAGCTCTAGAGCCATTCTTTTATGTTATTATCATTTTCTTCTTTTGTTTCTGCCATGATTTTGTATGCATTTGCACAGTTTAATATGCACATTGATCAACAGTCATTCGTAACTTATTTCTTCACTTCTCTCTCTCTCTCTTATCTTAAATCATGCTACTTCCATGAATATACGTATATGAAAGAATGAGCTATAAACTACCAAATCAAAAAACTGGTACAATACAAGTATGCATAGTTTATGAGAACTCAAGAAAAACGTAAATTTTTATGGAGTCTGCATATTGACTTTTCTAAAAGGTGCGCATAGCTTTATTAAATTCTTTCAGAAAAAAAAGAAACAATTGATGAACACAAGCAAAATTCTCTTTTAGCAAAGCACTCTTGAAATGGGCACATGTGGAATGTTAGAGTTGCCGTTTGCAGTCTTCTAAACAGAACAATCAAGTTTTGTCAGATTCACACTCGTCAAAACAATCTAACAGAGATAGCAGAGAATAATCAAAAGAGGCATATTAATAAATATATCAATGATTTTCCAAAACTAATATTAAATTGTAAAGTACTAGTGTATGCAACTATCAAAGCGCTACAGAAAAATAAGTTATTTATATCAATCAAAAATTTGTAGAGGCACGAACACGAATATAGAGTTCTGTTACTATAATCGAATTTTCATCGGAATCTCAATGACTACTATTTCAGTCAACCATGGACATCTTCTACAATTTTGAATAGCATGCCTGTTCATGAAATGATACCGCAGGAAAATGCTAAACTAGTTGAAGAAAAAACGCCTTTCAATCGGCTCGAATCAAAATGGTTGATCAAACAATGTTTTGAGTTCGTTTTACTTTATACTAATTAATTTCTGCATTATTTGAAAGGAAATGGCCAAGGATCAAGTTTGAACCAAATAAATATTTGTTATGGCCTCTACATTGATACTTATGGAACCATTTATTTTTCGGATTACACGAATAACCGCATAATGAGAAAGCTTAATACGTTATCGACTGGTGTTGCCATCGCTGGTAACAATGATAATGGCATTACCGCTAATCAATTTAATGATCCAATGCATATACACATAGATGTAAACAATATATCGATTATATACGTTGTCAACAGTTCCAATCATCGAATGCAACAATGGGTTATTGGGGGAACCTCTGAGATGACAGTAGCAGCTGGAAATTTATTTAGATCTTCTCTTAAATCGGCTCTGCAACCCTAGAGCAATTATCAGTGATTCGAATGGAAATCATTTCATTTCGGATACAAACAATCCTAGGATCGTCATGTGGGATAGTGGAGCAACTGTTGGTACAGTCATAGCAGGTACTAGTGATGTGTTTCGTTCAATAGCAACAACTTTAAAATATGCGAACTCATTTACGTTTGATTCAAATAAAAATTTGTATGTAGCTGATTCCAATAACTTTCGCATACAAAAATATTTTACTTGTTCAGGTATGTTATTTGTCATTAAAAAGATATCGTTTTTATTTCTAAACAAGACTATAATCATCATTGAATTTTATTGTTTCTAGGTGTAATAACAACGAATTCGAGCACTTCTGGTTAAATATACCTGTAAGAAGTGTCATTCGTTAAAATTTTTCAAGATCAACTTGAAAGATGTTTATCATGCACAGACATGTGTACATGTATCAATTCTCTTTTTTATTTTCTATTGGCCTTGACTTTGTTCATTTCTTCTTATGATTGTTGTTGTAGTACCATCCTGATCTTATCTATCTTGTTATGACATAAATGTAAATTTACTTATATATTCTTTAAATAAAATACGTACGAATAAAATGGTTCGTCATAAGTACACAATAAGAGAAAATATTTCGTATTATCATTTGAGTATCATTTGTCTGTTAACTATTTATTGAATATTATGTTTTTCCAAATGTAGATTTGTGGAGCTTAGCAGGGTAACTAAAATTTGCCTAATTATTGGATGATACCCAACCATGCCCTACTTTAGCTACGCCACTAAGTTACCGACTGAAATACCATTAGAATAAAACTACAGTTACATAGATTATAACAAAAAAACTGTATGTTACATTACTTTTTTAATATCTTGGTTTAACTGATATTTATATAGCATTTAGTTGAATCTAAGTAACTTCGTCGGTCGGTGTAACTTCAATACGACCTTACAATTTTCTCATAGAAACAATATCTAGATCAGTGACATTCAATCGGTATTTGATCACGAGTTATTTCGATTTTAGAAAAATTCAGGTTCAATAGAGTTACATCAACGGCAAAAGAGGACTAGATGTTACAGTGACAGAACGAAAAAGGTGTTCTCCTCGCGGGATTCGAACCACACATCTTCTGCTATCCGGGCAGATGTCCTATTCCAGTTAGACTAGAAGAGACACACACAACTGTATTCGTCTTACATAATGATCTATCATATCCATTATGTAACAAATAGAGCTATGATTACTTTTTTCTATCATGGATCTCTAAGATAGCCCAAAAATTAAAAAACAACATGATTTCGCAAATTTATTCTATTTTGAAAATGGTAAATAAAAGAAAGAGTTGCTTTTGAGATAATTAACCAAAGTCAACTAATGAATAGGAAGTATACTGGGATCGATTTGGTTAGTTGTCAATCCCAGCCTTCGTAAAATCAAAACTTGTTCACTATCATAGTTATTTTAAGTAACATAAAAATCAAAACTTTGAATCTCATGTATTCTCGGTAGATACGTATCGGATTTTTTTCAACTGTAATCATGATGATGATAGAATTTTGATCACAGTTAAATATGCATACCAGCATTTCTTATTTTTTGTTCATCAAGATTCTTATATCACAATGAATCTTTACGGCGAACGAAATACGGCAGCATAATGAAAAACAAGAGAGTAGTAATTATAATTATAAATGTACTTCACAATGCAGTGAAAACTGTGCGAAGCATTTATTTTTTCGTCAATATTCATCATTAATCAGCTCGAATTATCGGGAAAAAAAACAAAGATTCAACACTTCATAAAAAAAGAACAGAAGTAAATTTATCCTTAAGAGATCCCATAAAAAGAGATCACACTAGGTGTGATTACTATATCGTTTATCGGACAGAGATATGTTGTGTGTGTGATGATGACGATTAGAAATAGTTGGAAGTGATGAGGAAGAATTCTTTGAATGATTTTTATGAATCATCATCAAAGCAGTTGCTGCGGAAGATGGTGAAGTTTTATTAAGAGTTGGAGTTATATGGTCACTAGATGATGGTGTCGAAGTTGATGCAGAAGGAAAAGCACCAACCGCTAATGAATTGTTAGATACTGTTCGTTGATGTGTTAGTTTAGGAGAAGACAATAGATCAGCATGAGATTGAGAACGACCGAATTGAATGTTTCTTGTTCCTAATTTCGACAACGCCGTTGATGACGAAGGAACAGACGGAGTATTCGATGTTTGAGGTGTTTGACTAGAATCAGTCAAAGACGATGTCTATATTATGTCAACATAATTAGATATTTGAAAGAATTTTAAAATAGGTATATTACTCTATCATTGTGTTTCATTTGCAAATGACTATTAGGCGAAGTAACATTTGATTCATTTGCAACATTATTTGAACGTCTCGATGTCTATGATAAGAAACTGTATTAGTAAATAAAAAAACAATCCAAATCAACGCTCAACCTTAAGAATATCCGTTGCCAATCTATTTGTTTTGAAATTTAATTTATTTCGATCAACAGCTGTTCGCCGTTCTAGTGTATTGCTTTTAGTTTGATTTGATGTTGTCTTAATTTGATGATCAACATAATCTTGTTTAGATGAAGTTGAATGTGACACTGTTTCTGATTCATCGTTTGATGTTGATTGCAAAATTATCTCATTACTAGTCGCATTTAATTCCACTGTAGGATTATTTTCTAAATTCGTTCGACGTCGTTCATTTTCAGCTTGAAATTCTTTCATCATTGTTATTATATCTTTAGCTGGTCCTTTATCTGATCGACCCTGAAAAACAACAACAGAAAGAACATTGGTAAACAAAACAGCAATATTCCAATTGAAAATCACCGTTAGCCATGGATGTACAGTTAATTCACCCATTGTTCGACGATGAACTGTATCATAAACAATCATTCCTTGTAAAAAATCAAGCCCTAATCATGAAATAAAATTTAATCATATGAGAGAATATTTATTTTCTGTGTAATTAAAAAACCTTCAGAAGATAAATTTTTGAATCTTTCAGAATCATATCGAAGTTTTGTTGAACGAATTATTTCAAGCAAACGTCGTTCATCATTCGCAATATATGCATGACGACCAGAAATTCTATTTTAATTCTTATCAATCAACATCCATCAAAATAAAACTCAAAGACTTACAAATAATACATTATAATTCCTAAGGCCCATACATCACAAAGAGCACTATAGTTTTTATTTTCGAGTATTTCCGGTGCCATGTATCTATTTCAAATGTATAATTATTAATCTTGTTTTATATAAAGAATCAACAACTTACAATGGAGTTCCACAATATTCATTAAAAAGTGAATCAGTATTGGTGATACTTTTTTTTGAACTCAATCCAAAATCAGTAACCTTGATTTTTTCAATATATATTCAAAATTCTTTTGAAAGAAAAATCAAAGGAACGTACTCGAATATCAAATTCGTCTGTTTTACTGGCTGGAGTATTTTTTAATAAAATATTTTCTAATTTAAGATCACGATGTACAATATCTAGAAGAAAATAGAACAACATAGAAAAATAAATAAACAAGAAAACTTTGTTTAACCCATTTTATGAAGGTAATACAAAGCACTGACTAATTTCGACATAATTTGTTTAATGGTTTCTTCGGGTAATGGGCCAATTTTCTTTACATGCAGACCTAATTCACCACCTTCACATAATTCAACGATTAAATAAAGATTCTAAAATTAAAACACAGGATTTTTATTAATCACTCGTGTTATTTCAATCGAACTAAATCGATCATTTTTTTCCCTATGAATATGAGATGAATCATAAACAAGGAACGATTGAATAACCTGAGATGATTCAAGTACTTCATGAAGTTGAATTAAATTCGGATGATTAACTTCTTCTAATAGTTTTACTTCGTTATCAAGGCTTATTGCTTTGGTCTTATTCCCAGGCTAAAATGAAACCTTTTACTCAATAGCAATAAATAAAACTTTTTACCTTTTTAGCAATAGTCTTCATTGCATAAAACAAATCTGTTTCTTTGTTTCTAACACGATAAACAGTTCCAAATGAACCTTCACCTAATTTATTTGAAATTTCATATTTTGTTTCAAGTATTCCATCATCATAAAGACGTGTATGAGTTATCTGACGGGTTGATAGAACGGAAAATTGTTTATGCGTTCCTTTTGACATTACACCATAAACGTCGGTCAAAAGCACTAAAAATAAGAAGAAAAAAATATGAAATTTTAGCATGTTTAATCCATTACTAACAACGTCTTTGATGATGAATGATAACAACAGTAAAGGATGTTTGACGACCAAAACATTCATTAACTTCTCCTAGGTAAACAAAAACAAAGAAACCTTATGAGTTGAAATTTTCTTTGGTAAAAGAGAAAAAGAACTTGAATTGCTCGCAAGGATTGTCGAACTCTTTTATACGGTAAAAGCAAAATAAAGAATTTATTTTTCTAACTGAAAGCGTCATCATTCTTAAAAATAGTCGTTGTTCGTATAGTAAAATGTAAGAAAAAGCTGCGAATTTATGTGTGTATTAGTACGTCTGTTTTGCTCAAACACATAAATTTACCGAGAAATATTTCTAACGAAAACAAACACCATTGGCAATATTTTTCTTTTTGTTTTTTTTCTAAAGTAAAGAAAAGAAAGTAATGGTATTGCTCACTTCAAGCTAAGAAAACTTTATTCAAAGTCTCTGTGTTGAAATCAGTATACTACTTTAATTGATGTAGTCGACACTGAAACAAATATGTAATCCGATATTTATAACGAGATGTCAAATTTTTTCTCGTTGTTTCAATCAAAAGATTCTTCATCAACGTTTCAATCATGAGAAATTTTATTTTATATGACGCGTTTCTTGTTCCATGTACTCGTTTCACTCGATATTTTACATCTTGATTATCAGTATATGAAAATATTTTGATTGCGAGTATCTTTAAATCGTGAATAGTGTCTTTCTTTCTCATGAAACATTAGAAAAAAATTTAGTTCGCAAAATAATCATTTTCATACTTTTTTGTTGATATATCAGTTTTTAAGGATATTATCAAATTTTCCTACACACACTATTTCAGAGATTAGATTAAAACATTTGGACTGCCTTGATTTCAAATACATCCATCTTTTTTCCACTATGTTGATACGTACACTAACTGTGTTTATAAACAAATATTGTTATTCTTATATATCGTAGGAAAATGCATATATATTTAAGCAATTACCTTTCGTCAACGTATATCAAAAAAAGAAGTTTTGAGAAAAACCTGATTAATAAAAAAACGAATCGTTAAATATGAAATAATAATATATGTATATAAACGTTAATATCTATGTTGTGACATTTTATTCCGTTAAAAGTCCTACAAGTGTCGATCTGCTGAATCGTTTTTATTGTTACTTTTCATTGCGTTATTTTCCTGTTGACACACGACAGCAAACCCCACTGACAATTTCCGTTCGATCGATCGATCTGACAGAAAGAAAAAAAAGGCGTATGTTAAAAGGCTTCGTGACTCAATCATAACCTTCACGCACATTCATAGATCATCTTCATAATCACAAATATTTTCTTTTTTTGTTACCTTAGTTACACACCCTCAACTCTTTCATTCACATTAAATTAGGTAAACTATTTTAATCAATAAGTGAAAAAAATCATTGTTTCTGTAATTATAAATCATGTTTATTTAAGTTGTGAATGTTATAGATGTCACTTTTTCTTTAAGAGTGTTTCAAGATAAATTTTAATTTTATCGCAATTATTAGTATTTATGAATTTCTATATGTATATATATTCATCTTGTTGAAATTCAATATGAACTATCAAAATGATGACTAGAGAAATTTCTATTGGCTAGATATATCTAAAGTTACACAAAAAAATAAAAGTCGAAGAATCAAGTATCTGATCTCGTTTATTTTCTGTGAAATAGAATTCATTGTATTAAAATGAATTCTGAAGTCGATGGTCTTCTTGAATTTCTTCTTTATGTTGGTCAAGCAAAACGAACATTTCGTACAGGTTGGGTATTGAGTGGAGTTGAAAAGGTTGAAAGTATAGCTGATCATATGTATCGAATGGCTGTTATGTCACTTTTACTACCCACTGTATCAGAAGAATCAAAAGTTCGTTGTATGAAATTAGCGCTTGTACATGATTTAGCTGAATCAGTTGTTGGAGATTTAACTGAATTTGATGGAATACCTAAAAGTGAAAAGCATCGAAGAGAAAGTGAAGCTATGCTCTATTTAACAAGTTTATTACCAGCAGATGTTGGCAGAGAAATATTTTCACTTTTTAATGAATATGCTGATCAAAAAACAAATGAAGCAAATCTTGTTAAAGACTTAGATATATTTGATATGCTTTTACAAGGTAAATGCTCTAAGAAATTCTTATAACTTTTATTGTCGAAAAATTTGTTGCTTAGCGTATGAATATGAAAAAATTCAATCTGAAGATGGATTCTTAGAAGATTTTTTTGATAGTTCAATGAATAAAATAAAAACAAATATTGTACGAAAATGGCTTCAACAATTAGTAGAATGTCGATTATCAGGAAAACTATTCAAGTTACCTTCTGATTCAAATCTTAATACAATGCTTAAACATATTCTTTACGATGAGCAAGGTTTGTGTTTTTGTTTTATTTTGATATAGAAAATCTTCGATTTCAATTAATAGGAACATTCTTATATAAACTACCATCATCTACTCTTCGTGAAAAATCAAATCGTTTCGTTTCAAATAAAAATAAAACTGACAACTCATCGTTGGATACAACTGACCTTTTGGCGAATCTTGTCAAAGATATAAAAAAAACAACATAATTGAACGTTGATCTTTTCAAAACAATCGAAAGAAAATAATAATTAGAATTGCAAATTGATTTGTTTGTTTCTTTTTTCTTATTTGTTTTTGTTCATATTGACAGTTAGTGATGGGTATCTATATTATCATTATATATTGTTCTATTGTACAGTATTACTAGCTTTTTATTTTTATCTTGTGCATAATAAAAACAAATCATAATGTAAATACTTTTAATTCTTTATATTTTTAGATTGAGAATTTGCGCTTTTAATCATAATATAGAAAAATCAAATAACTCATAGGAATGTATAAAAATTGAGTATCCCGAAATCGCTGAATTCAATGCAAAATATCGAACAATTGTTATTATGAGGGAGTTTTCGCTAGTGAAAAGAAATTGCTCTACTTTGAATTTCTTTATCAATCTAATATAGATATTTCAGAATATAATCACATAATTAAGGTTTAAGATATACTTCTAACATCATTAATTTTTACTTTGTTATATTTTTTTCCTTTTCAATTTCAAAAGTAGATTTTCTACAGCTAGGTTTGGTTTCACATTACACGGCAAAGTTTTTTTTAGAAGTATTGGAAGATTCAAACATAAGAACGAAGAACATTCATACATAGTCGTGATCATCATCAATAAAAAAAACGGGAGAAAATACGATTATACTAAAAAGAATTTATACAATTTTCATTGCTAGTAGTTGATCGTCTATAAACTATTAATACTTCTATTTCATTGAAAACAGTTTTTGCTTGTGAATTTTCATTGAATTATTCTACTGTACGTAATATATACTGAGTGTTTAGTAATCAATCAGATTATAGTGTTCTCATGTCATTAAAGTCAGGTGAATCATCATCGAATTCAATGAAAGAATCTTATCAAACATTTAACACTTGTTGTTATATGCATACTAGAGATGTAGCATTTGAATCAGTGTATGATATTGCCGAAATAAATCATCTCTATGCACTTGTTAAATTGACCGATGCTGTTCGATGATGGATTTTATTTTATTTTTTTGTTCACTTTTATATTCATCGTTTTTTCTTATTTATTCGAAAATCCATAGGGGAGTTCTCTATCGGTAAGAATAATATTTTGAATAATTATTGTAGACGAAGAAATGATTGATTATAAGAGATTAACAAAATTTTAACATTTACACATGCAACAAACAATGAAGAATGTTATCGAAAAGATAAACTGATTTTGTGATGGTATGTAAATCATATGAATGAGAATATTTTCTGATAAATATTGTTTTATGAAATGTAGAATCATGATTTTTCGTATAAATCATACTTTAAAAATGATTAGTCAGGGAATTTTGTTACAATTAATCTCTTGTGATAAAATATTTTAGTAATTGAAAATTCAAAAAACGACCGGTGACAAAAAAGTTATCGCATCAATCTATATCTAGTAGAGATATTCAACATGATTTTTCATTTTCAAATATGTTCAATTTCATCACTCGCGAATTTCCAGAGATTTCATATAATTCAACTTTTCAAAATTTGGATAGTTTTATAGAAAATTTTAAATCGTCAGAAATTTTGAACATACTCATTCTTATTATCTCAATAATAAAAATTAGTATTGACGCGATCGATAATTAGAATATAGCAAAGCTAAATTTAAAATAAGTATCAAATGAAATTAATGTTGATACAATCTTGAAAGATTAGTTTTCATTCAAATATAAAATGATTAAAGTTTTTTTTCATATTGATTTCAATATTTTTCTATTAATAAATGCAAAGCAAACAAGTAAACTATTCAATATTAATGATGATATTATTTTCGACACTTAAAAAAAATATTAAATCAATGTCAATAAGTATTTTGATTCTAAAAAAATTGGCGAAACTTATGATGGAAATTCAATTTTCACTTACTTATGCGACGAAGAAAAATGTTTAAATGCAAAGATACACTCTCAATCAATATTAGCGACTATAATCCTTTAGACTAAGATATTATTGAAAAAACACTTCTATAAAAGCCCAAAATGCTTCAAATAGTTTAAACAGATTATATTTGATTCAAAGATTTTTCAATTGTTATCGGATTCGAATAACATTTTGAAATGGAATTAATTTTCAATCATAACTATGTCCATAAAGCATTATAATTAAAATAAGAGGGGTTAAGTTAATGTTTTATTATTTGATAAATCTATTCGTATCAAGATGAAATGATCTTTTTTAAAGATTTTCTAGACGAATTTCACACAACCTTGCCTCATCCGAACCAATCATCTGTTAATATGATGATAAGAGTATTGTAAGTAAGAAGATTAATAACCAAAACTACAGTTTGACTCACAAGATTTATTTTTATTCGATAACTGACATTAATTTTTATCAAATGTTCTTACACATCTTTGTAAAAGCATACTAATTTGTTTGATATTTTTTTTAAACTAAGCATTGAAATATAAATTATATTCAATATAATTTTTACTCTGATAGCTATATATTCACTTATGTCAGTTTAGTTCAATTCAAAATAAAGTAAGAAAAATACTAATGATAATGCGTTTTTTCGATTAAAATAAAAATAAAAAATTGATTTCAGTCTTAAGAATCAAAGCGGTCCATGAGAGCATCGTAAAAACCCAAGAAAAGTATTGTGGAACAGCATGTTGAGAATAGATTATTAGTAGATGTCCAAATAGCATAACAGAATTTTTCAAATTTGTTTAATTTTACTTTTCAAAATTTAGTAGTGATCAGTAAAACACCCTCGTTAGTAATTTGATTCAAATAAATTGCCGTTGAAAGATTGAACAGAACGATAGAACAAGAATAATAATTTTACCTGCTGAAACACAAGATTCCTGTCACATTTCAGGGATAAGATTTTCATATGAAACTGAAAAATCGAATATCCGACGCCGGAAAATAATAGCAGAGTATTTTTTCTTCTTTCTAGTTTATTTCAATCGAAAATATTTTCTTTAATTGAACTTTTCAATTTTTATTTTCAAAAGAAAAAATTTTATTATTACATTTGTATACGTGTCGACGAATAATTTGTTTTGTTTTCAATATGATTCATCCAGCCAGGTGAATAGTAGTTTTTTTCTTTTTGAATCAAACATAACTAAAATGTTTGTCTTGAAGTGTATCATAGAAAACATGCTTATATTTACCGCTATTTCAGATTGTAAATACTAGATAAACGTGATAATGTTTCTATCAGGACTTGCTTCATTAAAATTTACAGTATCATTATTTGTTCTGTTGATTGCTGTTGGCATTGGATCATTTCTTTATTTAACATTAAATACAGATTTTGAATCCCAACCCCGTACATTGTTTCGTTCAGGTAGTTCAGATCCATTGAAAACACCCATTTCAAGTGAAAACTTGAATCAAATAATGAACACTGCTCGTCAAGCATGGTCTATTGTTAATAATAAGTAAAAATCTAAATTTTCAACGAAACTAATATTTTATGATTATTTTTCAACTCTAATTTTTAGTCGAGCTATTGTTGATATGCAAACATCATATGGGAATGGTATACCGCATCGTATAACTGATCCATTTGAACTTCAATCATGGGCATCACCACCTATTTCTTATTCTTCTACTATTAATGTTCATAATCTTTTAAAACAACGCGTTGTTCAATTTACTTATGCTCTTCAATTCACATACGGTGGTTCATTAGATGGAAAAGGTGCTTATTTAGATCGTGTCACAGTTATTCCATCACGTATATCAGTTGCGTGGGGTTTTACATTTAATGCCAGCATTCAAATTGCATCTGTACATAATGTTGGTACGCGCGATGATCCAATTGCAGCTGTCAATCTTGAATTGCATTATCGATTAGAAGGACTTAATGTAGTTGAAAGAACAGAATCTTTTCACGTCAGGGGCGATGGGCAATATACACATATAAATGCTTGATATCTGTTTCTATTAAAAATTTTCAATAAAATATAGCAATGAATTCAGTCATTTTATATTTCTTAGATAAACTACAATGGCTTAGAATTATTTTATCTTATTTAAAATCTATTAAATCAATAGTAATTTTTATAAATCCTACCAATTATGGAGGAATACCACAGAAATTGAACATGAATATGTAGTACAGATTATTCATAATATTGCACGTAGAAATTTGAAGGAACATCAACATCGGTAATTCGAATATTACTATGAGTAACAGGAGAACAATCTCAAAATTGTTATTATTGATATAAATTACATCAGACATCGGAAAAAAATTGAAGTAGTAAATTGTTATATCCGATATTAGCTGATAAACAGCACATTTTTGAAATTTTAGTGTGATAGTAAGGTGAGAACATTTTGTTTTATTGCGATATCATATTAAGAGTCAGACTCAAAATAGGTGATAGAGCATAGTGAGGTATGAAACATCTAAAAAGGATAATTGCTATTTGCACTTTTGAACATGAGTTATCTGTATGTTGCCAGTCGCATTTTATCCTTAGACATAATAAATAACAACAACTTTACGACTTCATAGCTCAAGAATCAATCAGTATTTTCAGCTGAAGTTCTCATAACTTTTTTCTAATATCTAGACTTGTCTATAGGATATATTTCATATTAAAATGCCACCACTCAATATGCTGGTATTCATCATGCTTTAAACTAACATTTTAGTCGTAGAGTAAAAACTCTGGAAAGAAGGCCCAACAGTGTTTATCATCTTGATGTGTTTCTTATCAAGTTGGCCACCAAATTATCTATTGAATCTGACATTGATTGTTTGAAGTTGTTCTCACGTAAGAAAAGGATGATGGAAATTCAAACTATCACAATACTTAGTTTCTATAAAATATTCGAAATCGATTAACCTTAATTTTTAAAAATCGAATATCCATTTCGAGAAGCAACGATAATCGCAACAATGTTCTATATACAAAATAAGATATTATTTTTCTGGATTAAAATGATCTGATAGAAAATAAACAGAAATAATATATTTTAAAATGACTATCAGACCAAACAAGAGATGGTATACGACTGATAGTTTTTATGATGTCCCTTTTTATTTTGAACATTTTACTTGTTCATAAATGCAACATAAAACTTTGTTGCTTTTGCGATATTACTAAGCATAACATCAAGATATCTGATCAAACTATACGGTAAATTTAATACATTCTGCCATTTTAAAGAGAATATTTCATGAGATTAACATTCGACAACCAGTAATGATATATAGATCTGGATGATACGAGTTTACAATTCTATTCAAGCCGATAAAAGCGATGCCGTTTATGGTCGTAATTCTGAAGGTAATATACGATGTCGTATTTTTCAACCTGCCTTGCTGATTCTGGTCAGTGCCGTTTGAAAATAGATAAATTGATCACTGGTTTTCTGCTTCCAAGTTCCTACCATTTTCTGTGGCTTGCTGACTGTAATTAACTATTCCTCCTTCGCCTAGAAATACGTACAGAATGTGACCATAGCTTAGTTGTGGATGTATTCAGTACATTCGTTGTTGATAAGGCATATCGTTTTTATTCAATCGTAAATATAAATGCAGAAGAGAAGACAATATCAATTCATATTTATTTTCAATTCAATATTTGTAAACACAAGTATCAGGAATTTATATTGAAAAATATATATTGTATCTTTTTCCTTTTTTAATTTTACTCATCATATTCATGTTTGAACATGTTAGGTAATTCATCATCAGTGAATCGGATTCAGTTTAACAAATAAGAAACATGATTAAAACAAAATCATCTATCAGTATGAATTCTTTCTCATGTTCACAAGACGCTGAATTCATGTTAACGTTGTATGATGATTAGTTTTAAAACTCTTTATTTCACAAGGATAGAAAGAGAAAAAAACAAGGGCAACTATCGTCTTCCGAAAAATTCAGTAAGAATTTATAGAGAAATTTTTTAAAGTTTACATTTAGAAGAATATCATAATCATGAAAGTTGAAAAAAATTCGTAATAAAGATCCTAATTCGTCATATTTTTAGATTAATCAAAAGATCTAGCAACTCGAACATCATAGACGTTGAGTTATTTTATCGTTTTTTGATTTCTTTATGATAAATAATCTCCGTGTTGATTTCTTATCATTTTAATAATCACTTCAATAAGTAAGTGCACACATATTATATGAAATTAGCTTGTTAGTTTGTTGCTATTTCTAGTTGTTGTCTTATATGCACAATTATTGAATAATTAAAATGACGAACGATGTTTTCTTTGTTGTTTTTTTTTTGTATGTTAGCTTAGCATAGACGAAAAAAGACACAAAAAGACAGAGTAAAGCGAACGTTAATTAAAGATAGAAATAAAGTACATAAATATAATGAAGAAACATGGATATATTTTTCTTTTATTCTTATCGAGCAAGTTGTTGGTAACTTTTGTCTAAACCACCATTAGATGGTGTTGGAAAACCATTTGGTGAAATTGTTTGTTCCATTGGTATTTGTACTTGGCTTTGACTTACTGCTTGTTGTTGTGGATAGTACTGTTGAGCGAATAAATTAGCATAATAAGGAGCATAATACATATTTGGATCATAATTTGTCTGATTACTGCCGTTACCAAGATTGGCAGGAGCATATTGATTCCATGATGAACTTGAAGTTTGTATATCATTAGGTGGTATTATTGATGGTGACGATGGATATGCACTACCATAAACACTACCAGTTGATTGGGATGATGATATACCATAAGATGATTGAAGTTGATTCGAATAATTTGAATGAGGATATTGACCTTGTTGATTTAATCCAGTTGGATTATACATAGATTGACCTTGGTTTTGTTGATAAACTGAAGATGAAGATGAAACTGAATTACCTAATGTACCATATACACTATTATTGCCATTAACTGATGATAAACCACCGTTACGTCCTAATACAAAGAATTATTTTCTTTCAATGAATACATATATATTTTCTATTTTATCAATATTCTTTCTTTTTATTCAGAAAATAATCATAAATAAATGTGGAAACTTCGGATTTCATCCGAGAGTTATGTGTACTGCAATAAGTGCATGGGACATATGAGTCATTCTAGAATGTCTGAACATCAAAATTACCATGAGAAACTAGGCAATTTGATTTCTGGATGCAGTTTTGTGCATTTTGAGACGTTTTTCAGGCGATGTTTCGTTAGAAATTGTGAATAATTTTGAGAAAAAAGTTTTTTTTTGAAAAATCCCTGTACCCCCTCAGAGATGGTCTGATCAAAAATGACAATTTTGTCGATAACTGAGCCATTTCTTGACGGATCCTTCTCATCTTCGAACTCGACCTAGATCGAGTGTAATTGTGAAGAGTTATCGAATAAACGGCCGGACACACTGGCCGATTCTATAGTGTACTCTTTTTTTTTTTGAGTACACAAAAAAGCAGTTTAGGTATGATAAGAGAAAACAAAACGTATCAAATCAACATTTTTTAGAATAAAAGCAGAAAATGAAAGTTTTTAAAAGAATTCTTAGACATTCAAATATTGCTCTAATTAAATTTTAACAGTGACCGCTGTATTAGTTAGCAACATTTCTGATTTAGAATGTTTTTTTACAGATTAAAAAAAGTATATGTTAGACATGAATTCACAAACTTAGTTAAAAAATAGGAAACATGTCGGATAATAAAATTAGCAATTAGTTCGATTTGATCGAATTCGTCGCTGACATTCCTATTATTATTATTATCTTGAATGTCTACAGATTTTTAGAGACATCTTTAGAAAGTTCCTATTTGATTATTTTATTTTATTTTAAATCATTACGATAAAACTGTAATATCACCTGTCGACCATTGTGTTATTGAATTATTATTATTATTATTATTATTGTTATTATTATTAGTTCTAATATCACTATTCGCTGTGCTCCAATAAGGTACACCATTATTAGCTCCTTGGCTCCATTGATCAATCTAAATTTAAAAAGAAAAAAAAGTTTTCCTTGTTCTTTTTTCTTTTTTTTAGATAAATATGATTGAATGGTTTTACTTGTCCAGCATAATTATTGTTAGTTGATGTATGTGTATAATAGGGACTTTGATTCGCATGAATATTCATCATTGATGGATGAGTCATTGTTGGAGCTGATATTGATGAAATTAATTGATTATGATGATGATGATGAGGTAAAATATATTCTCCATATTGATATTGTTGTTGCATTTGTAATTGTTGTTGTTCATGTGGTCGTGGCTTGGCTGGTCGAACTTCAATTGATGCACCATTTACTAAATGGCGCTGTTGACGTAAAACTTCTTCGGCTGTTTTTTCAGATGAAAATGAAACAAAACCAAATGGACGTCGAACACTTTTTTCACGATCCATTGGCTAAAAAAATAAAGTGAACAAAATAGCAACCAAAAATAATTTTTGTTTTTTTTCTAATTTACCAATTCAATTGTATCAATAATTCCAAATTGTGAAAAATAATCAGATAAATCTTGTTCTACAAAATCAGTTGGTAATTGTCCAATAAAGATTTTTTTCACCGGATTTGTAACAGCTAAACAAATAAATTAAGGATTTCTCAAGTAAAAAACTCCATATAAAGAAAAGTCTAACGTGGTCGTCGATGTGCTGGTTTAGGATCAATTTGTGATTGATTAATGGTGTGTGATTGAACATTAAGAACTTTTTGTATTGATTCTTTATCATCAAATAAAATGAAAGCAAAGCCTCGTGCTCTTCCACCGGGTACATCATATTTAATTGTAACATCTTCAATTGAACCAAATGTAGAAAAATATTTTTGAAGATCTTCTTTTGTTATATCCGATGATAATTGGCCAACAAATAATTTTCTTTCATCATCAGGTTTTGGAACTTTTCCATCACGAACTGTTTTCATAGTTTCGTTGCCATCATCATTATCATTACCATTAGGTGAAAATTCTTCCTTTTGATTATCTATTTTATGATTCGTTGAGTCATTAATTGTTTCACATAATGATCCTTGATCATCATTTGAGGTTGTTTGACTATTTATCATTCTAATAAAAAAGAATTTTATTTATTTACCGTTTTATTTTAAATTTAGCTTACTTTTTTGTCAAGATTTGATATAACAAAACAAGAGTTTTTTTTTCTTCAAAACTTTTGATACATTCTCAAGTTATTGTTTAATGTAAACCATCTAAAATGATAGCATCCTCAGTTTTTTTTTTCCTTCATTAATCACCATCATTAAATAGAGAAAGAGATTATATATATATATATATATATAAACAAAAAGTGAACTCGATGAAAGAAACTATTTTACACCGAGAAGAAAAAAAAAAGTAAATGTACACGCCAAAAAAATCGGAGACATTCAAAGATCCACAAGTTTTGAGAGAGAACGATTTTTACTATCTTCGGGAGACGCTGATGAACCAGAGGCTGAGTTGGTTCCACAAAGTATGGAATCATATTGTTGAATTTTAATAACGCCGACACCACCACCTAACCGGCGATAATTCATTCCACCTTGTAGTTTCCAACTGTTTGATTCACTGTCGTATAATTCAACACTCTTTAAGTATGCTGTACCCTATACAAAAATATTAAATATAATAGTTTTATTAATTTCACTTGCAACAAACATGAATTCACGTGGAAATATTCGTAGAAATTTATAAACTAACCATTTCCAAAATCTATCTCGCAGGCATCAATTATGTCAAATCATGCGTGTAAAATTAGCATCGCTTATCTATTCTAATTTTTTGTTATGAACTATCGTGGCCATTTTACTACTAACAAGATATAAAGCGTGAATCTTATAGTTTACAATCAATCTAATTTTATTTATATTAGGCAGTAGAAGTTAATCACAATAGAAAATCCTAATAAGAACAATAAAATATTTTTGGAGATTGGAAATTGATCTATTCAAAAGTTTAACAAACGAAACTATCGAGAAAAAGCTTCAAAAACGATCAAACAGTATTTACATCCGAATCTGATTAACAACTTCTGAAATTACTCAGCTAATAAATATTCAATGTTGTTCAAATCTATATAATCTCGAACAATGATTCGAAAGATACACTCAAAACAACAAATTATTTTTACTTAATCATGAACATTGCCTTGATTTCAATATATCATTTGTTTTACAACATCTACTCAACTAAACAATTTTATTTCTTTCAAGTTTATTTTTTCAATCAGAATTTCGCAATGAAAATAAGTGATTATTTTCGAGAAGCGAAGAACAAAAGCAATCATCACATATCTATATTTCATACTGAAATAAACATATCACAATAATTCATAACTCATCGATATGGTTAGCCGAATATCTATCTGAATCTTTCAATTTGAAATAAACTATAACAACTGTATTTGTATTTTATATAATAAATAACTTACATCAAATCCACCAATAGCCATTAAATTATTATTAACAACTGCTAAACCAACCTATACCAAAAAGTATTATTAGTATAATTGAATCGACTCAAAATGAATGCATACTCCACTTCGCCTTGAATTCATTGCAACGACTGGCGACCATTGATTTATTTTTGGATTATATCTTTCAGCTGTTGATAATTCTGTCGCATCATCTCGACCGCCAACTGCATCTATTGAATAGAGTTTATTAAATAAAAACAAATCAAGTTAAGCGACACAAAGCATACAGATAAATCCATTATAAACAGCACAGCCAAGATGTTTTCGACGTGTTGTCATTGATGCTACTGCTAACCATTTGTTTGTTTTTGACTCATAGCGTTCAACTAAAAAGTATCATTTAATCTAACTCTATTTTACTGAAAACCTAGTGAAAATACGTTGTATTTGAGATGGAAGATTTATTTAATAAGTTTTTCATGCAAGTATTATACTAAAATATCTGTATAACATGTGATAGATCTATCTAGCATACTACTTTCATGATTTGACATTATCGTCCGGTTTGATTTTTTTTATTTGATACTTTCATTTATTGTTCAAAAACTTCTTTTTCCTTTTCATTTGAAATTACGCTGATTACTTGGAATAACTTTTTTTTTCGTAGATTATTTCTTTCAAAAATCTGAATAAAATCAGTTTTATTTACCTGTATTAAGTGGAGATTGCCCATCTGATCCTCCTATAGCATAAAGATATCCATCGAGGACAGCAACGGCTACACCTAATCGTTTTGAACACATAGATGTTATGCGACTCCATCGTTGATTAGATGGATCATATCTTAAAAATCAAAGGTAAAAAAATAAAGCAAACTTATGAATCAACAAAAAAACAAGAATCAACTTTTCCACAAGATTTAAACATGATATTCCATCTTGTCCACCAACAGCAAATAGACACCCATCAAGTACCGCAACTCCAACACTTGTTCGACATGAACTTGTCGGTGCTATATCATTATTCCATTGATTTGTTTGAGGGTCAAATCTATGCATAGTGATATTTATATGAGAAATATTCTGTGTTAAATTTACTTTTCCACACTGTTCAAATAACTAACGCCATCATGTCCACCAACAGCATATAAAAGATTATTAAGTACAGCTACACCAACTCCACATCTTCGTTTTGACATTGGTGATACAGCTCTCCATTCATTTGTAACTGGATCAAACATTTCAACACTGGCTATGGCATCGCCAGAACACCAACCTCCAACTATTTTAAGATTGGAAATTTAAATTAAAAAACAAGAGGTAATTTAATATAAAATAGCAAACCAGCAAACAGAACTTCAGATGATTTTATTGGTTTTCTTCTCCTTGTTCTTGGTCCTTGCATACTCAAACGTTCTTGTGGTAATAATAGATAATCTTTTGCTTCATCAACTAAATCTCTACATGCTTGATCAGATCGAATTAGTGAATCTGAACTAACTGTATTAACAAGAAATCGAGCACTCATCAATGGAAATCGTACATGTTCTAAGATCTAAACAAATTTCTATGTAATTTAATTTAGATTGAAAATAAAACTTACTTTAGGTAAATATTGTTTTCTTTGTTGAACATCGCATGAAATCCATTGCATAACAGCATTGAAAACATCTTCTTCAGATGTCATATTCAATTCATCACTGGATATAATATCAATTAATTGATGTATTGGTAAAAATAAAAATTCTTCACTTTCTTTCACATCAATAAAATGTTGTTGCGCATAATGATCAGCGACTCGTAAAAGTTCTCGACATGAATGTGTATCTGCAAACGCTCGAATACCTAAAAAAATTGTTAGATCGAGTTGTTTTTGAAGAAATTCACAACATGTTATTTGAACTTCTTCAATCTAAATCACATAGAAATTTTCCTTTTTTAAATTACATAATTTCTAAATTATTTTATAGAAACAAGGGCCTACATTTTTTTCTGCATCTCAACTATTAATACTTTCATAAGCGAAGACACAAAAAACTATTTACTCGATAATTACAATCGAATAGATCTAGTTTAAATATACATTCGTACCTGTGTTAGCTACTACAAAAAGTATCGTACTACCACTAAATTCTAGTTTATGAAAGAACTGCAACATGGAATTATTGAATTTTCAATACTAGTGACGCTCTTGTTGTCTTTATTTGATTTTTACATATTATTTTCTTACCTGGAGAATACAAGCTGCAGGTAATAACATTTGAACATTTTTTTTTCATCAACAACAATTCTTGACGTATAACAATATTCAATCAATAATTCCATCGCATATTCCTCAATATCCCGAATGATTATTTCTGGTTGTCGACTTTCAGCTAATTCACCAGTAAACATTGCTCTAAGATATGGACTACATGCTAAACAAAAGAAATGAATTTTATTTTCAAATTACAACTATTTCAATTACCGGAAAGAATAGCGCGTTGAGCTGGTGTCTTATTTTGACCAACAATCAAAATGACATCACATAATTCTTTTTGTTTTCTTAATAAATTTAAATTTTCTAATAGAAATTTTGCATGTTTATCTGATGTTTTAACAAGTTTATTAGTCACAATGTGTTTCATTATATTAAATACTTTTTCAATACATAATGTGCTACTGAGAAGAA